TAGAAAGCCAAGGACAGCAGGAACCAGTTCTGATCTAGTTTGACCTTCTTTGTGACCCACAGCCAAAGCACTTCAGCTGATGTTTCTGCATCCAGCTCCCCGATGTCTGGACCCAGTACTAGTCGGGTGTACAATAGAATGGACAGGCAATACCAGCGTTACACGGGCATTAGATACATTAACCAGATGCCCTCACCTGGAACATGGCTGTTCTGCTCCCTGTACCCCAAAAGGTGTATACAAAATGAGTAAAAGGTTTGTCAAAAACAATGCAAGTGCTGTAGAAAACTAGCAGCCTCCCTCAGATGATAAGCCCAGGTTCACAAAAACATCCAAGAACAGGACCCGAGAGGAGTTCCCAGATCGCAGCCTGCACGGATTGTGCTGCAGCCCTGCTTCGGGCTAAAGTCAAAAGCGTAAAGCACCACTGAGCCAGTTCAGCAGAGCATGCTGTCATCAAGGGCTTTCATCCGCCCCGAAGGACTCCAGGGCACCAAGAACATCACACCCCTGGCTCAGATTTTTTTTTTTTTAATTTAAAATAAGGCAACTGTACGTTGATGGCCTGTAAAAAGGTGGAAGGTGGGAGCTTAGCCCCAGCTATCCAAAAATGACAAAGAAACAGTTTGACATCACTGACCCCAGAGACCTCTGTCACACAAAACAAGTCACTGCAGAGCACCACAGCGCATTTCAGTCTTCTGAAGTCTCTGTGTCAGGAAACAGGTCTCCCCGCCAGCGCTGGCAGCTCGTCTCGGAGCGCAGACGTGAGCACACCTGCCAGCAGCTACCTGTAACCGATGCAAGGCAGCTCATCTCTTTGTTGCGGGACTTGACAGACTTTCCAGAGTTCACAGGTTTTTGGCCTTCAGTGTTGATATTTAAAAATCTCCAAGCTAGCTCTGAATTCAGCTACATACAACTTCTCCAAGATATTGGGTCAGTACCTTAATAACACTTCTATTTGTTTAAGACCATGCTAAACATACAGCACTTCAAAGAAACTATTTTGGTATGAATACACTCTAAAGCCTCTTGTTATTCTGTTTAAGTACCTTTAACTTATTCTAAATAAACTGCATCAGCACAGCGTCACTGGTGGTATTTCAAACCATGGCAGCAGGAAGCTCAAAATTCACAAGCTTCCTCGGAGCCCGAACAACCAGATTTTGACTAAACGCTACGTATTATACCAGCTACAAGCAGTACAAAACCAGATGAAAGAATATTGTTACTATTTAAACGGTAAGTTTTGACTTCTTGGAACTTTGGGAAAAGAGCTTCAACTTCTTCAGCTCAAGCAAAAAAACCCAAAATGTTTATTTTTAGCTTTCTTCCCCTATTTACAAATACAGAGATGGGACTTTCTTGCTCTGAAATAAAGCAACATCTGGTTTGGTTTTTCAATACTAAGAGACTTTTCGCTAGAAGTACTTGTTTACTGCTTGTTAGGAGCACCCAGGAATACCAGAATAGAAGTAACACATCAGCATCTGTGGGTTTGAGGGGGGAAAAAGATAAACAAATAAAAAACCCAAAACATGACGTCAGATGCCCGAACGCTCAGACTGCTGGTTTGAAAGTTTACTGCAAGATTCTGCCACGTGAGCCGCCACGGCAGGGCAGCCCGGCCCTGTCCCCTCACA